GTTGCCTAGACCACGGCCTTGCCCAACACAAGTTATAAATTTGGGCACCGCCGGGAATCGAACCCGAGACCCCAGGATTACAAGGCCAGCGTTCTAACCGCTAGACCACCGTGTTGTTACTTAGGAAACTTCAATTGTTTACTCGGCATTGTTGTTACCTAGGAAACATTACATTACATTCAGTTACCACAGACCCATCTTAAGCGTAACTAATTCTAGTTAAATAAGCAATGTCTTAATCAAACTTATCTCAAATATAAAGCATGTATAAAGGAAATATTTAGAATATTTCGATAAAGAACATCATTTAATATTTTAAATATTTTAAATGTTAATTATTGTAATATTTTAATATTTAATAATAATCCGCCCGGGACGGACATACGCGACACCCTGATGATGATGGCAGGAAGAACGTCTGAAAGTCGGTACACTTTTTACCATTCTGTTTTTAATCCTTTGTTTTACGGAGTGTAGCCTTGTAGAGTTAATTAGTTTTAGAAAAGAATTACGGTAGTTCTGATACTGTTATGTGCTTTGTATGTGTTTTATCAGAACGGTAATATGGTCAGATTAAGGAAGTTACTTGGAAGACGACCTTCAGACACGGAATATGGTATGCTGGTTAATAAGCAGTCGAGACAGTTCGAAAAAGGTTACCTTCCATGTTACGTAACACACAATGAACAAAATACAAAATGTTATATTATGAAACTGTTAAAATGTTTACGAATTCGAGAGAATCATTGGGCTCGATTTAGTATCCAGTGATGATTTTTTGAAAAAAATAACTTTGGAATAACATCGGTATTTTCATCATTCGCCCACATTTAAGACGAGATATACTGTCACAATTTTGTTCCTCAATTTAGCGTAGTTAACCCAGCTTTTACAAATTGGGGTCTGAAGGTCGAGCCATGATAATGTTTTCAGTCCATCTGACGCGAGGGAAATTAATTTTGATGTTCCAGTGCAGCAAATCCTACTTGAGAAGCTAATAGTCGTTAACCTAGTCAAGAAAGTCTCCATCATTTCTTCTTAAAACGTAGTTTGATACTTATTTAACTACTGTAGATGTCTGAAGGTTCCTGATAATGGTGCGTGAAATTATTATTTTGTCGTTTAAATTTTTGAATTATAACGTTTCGGAACCTATTTTCTGCTTCCATCTTCAGGCATAGAAAGATGATGAAAAGCCTGGTATAGATCCACTGTTATAATTTTATAATTTAGACCAGTGGTATTCAACCTGGGGTACGCGAAGACATCTTAGGGGGTACGTGAAATTTAAAAAATATATATGTTATTTTATGATAAACACTGAATAATCAGTAATGTAATTTATTTAATTTATTTTAAATGTAGATTATATACTATGTATAACTTGAATTATACACCAACAACTTTGGGGGTACAAAGTTGAAGAGAAATTATATCTGGGGGTACGCGAACAAAAAAAGGTTAAATACCACTGATTTAGACTATGGACGAAGTCCAGAGTAACAGATTTACGTGAAAGTTGCTCTCTTATCGCTGAGACGAGACAGAGGATGCAAACGTACAAAAATACGTGATCATCACATGATCCATCTTTTGAGGGCTTCACTGGAACTTTAACCCTCTGGTCACGTGATTTATACGTGCTTAACTACGTGCTACTGCTTACATAGACTATACGAGGTCCGATCGGAAGGTTTCCAGACTGCGCGTATAAAAACCCGTACACTTATCTCAGGTATTAAATTCATCCATCACCCTCGAAGTATTTCCCCTGGGAGTGAACACAACGATCCCAGCGCCGCTGCCAAGCCTGGAAGCATCCCTGGAAATCTTTCTTTGTCAGCCTGTCAAGCACCATCTGCGATTCTGCCTGAATCTCTTCTATCGTCTCAAATCTCCTTCCCTTTAGCTGAATTTTCATCTTGGGGAAGAGGGAGAAGTCACACGGAGCTTAGAAAGTTCTATCGTCTCAAATCTCCTTCCCTTTAGCTGAATTTTCATCTTTGGGAAGAGGAAGAAGTCACACGGAGCTTAGAAAGGAAGTTGGGGTCGGTTCTTGCAAGATCTTTTAGCTCCTGACAAACGAGAAGTCGATTCTGCTTCTGGTCCTCAGACAGGTTGCGTCGCATGTGGAGTTCTTCCTTTAGAATCAGCTGACAGGTCCCAACAATGTCGCACAAGTCGTTGATGGTACGACGTCGATCTTCGTGAATGGCCTGCCGAATCTTGGTAACATTTTCGGGCGTTGTGCTCGAAGATGGTCGTCCAGAATGCTCGTCATCATCGACAGGGGTTCGGCCCTTTTTAAAACGTGAATGCCACACAAAAGTTTGTGCACGACCCATTGCGGACTCCCCAAATGCTTGCTTTAGCATTTCATAGGTTTCCGTAGCCGTTTTGGCGAGTCTTTGGCAAAATTTGATGCACACGCCATTCCGAAATCGCAGGAGGGTCGGTGTAATGCACTACCAAAACGCCCGTAACTAAGAAACAAATGCTAATTCGATGATGACGGCTGGCACACTGATTCATTATAAATGTAGGCCGCATCCCCTAGCGGCAGAAGCTCGTGCTACATCCGGTTCGCCCTATATTGACACAGTCTTTAAACTTTCCGATCGCACCTCGTAGTTACAATGTTAAATAAATTATTTGTTTAAGATATTATTTTGCACTAGCCGCCACTGATAAAACACTATTACGTCATTATAAACCTTGTGGCCTTGCAGCCCATATGGGTACTATAAGGAGATCGTTGTGAGCCGTTAAACAGGGCATTGCCACTGCTTTGCTCTGTCGTTAGAAAGAATGGACAAAGCGGTCAGTGGCGGGTCCTGAAGTAATCCTGCGTTAGCAAACTGCGTGACTGTTAACGCAAGACATTAATCTTTCTTCCGTTAATTCTGATATGATTGTCACTGGAGTAGGACTGTAATGTAGGTGTTTCAGAGAACATTTTAAGTCGTCAGAGGAGAATTAACGGAACTTGTGATTTGCAGTCAAAGGATGGAGGTTAAGATTAACTGGACTTTTAAATTTTAATCAGGGCGATAAAAATACACGTGTTACCGGCAATGTATAGAATAAATTGTAATGTTAATATTGTTTGGTTGTGTAAATTAATATCAACAGTACAACAAGGATTCTGGTGCTTCGTACTACTGAATAATGATTAAGGATGATTAAATAAGCATGCCTATGGATAATATGGACTAAGAATATTGTACACATGACAGATATAATATAATTGTGTCAATTGTTCGTCAGAAATGTCCGGAAAAGTGATGCACCGTAGTTGAGAGGAAAATGGAAAATGTATTCTGGATTTTAATTGGCCGTGATATGTCCTGAACTTCCTGACTGAAACTTTAGCATCAGTGCTGTACGAAACGTCGGTTGCTTACTATGGCAGGTGTATAGTCTTTATACAGTCCCCATGCTGTCTGCAACGTGATTGGACAGGTTAGCACATCAAAATCATTGTACTTATCGCCAGGGGTTGGGTAAAGAGACCCATTTGAAGCCACACTGCTAATACGTCGAGAATGTATTTATTTATTTATTTATTTACCGTCTGTCGTAACTCTTCTAAGCTGTGCAGTTGATACAGCGTCGTTACCCACAGAAATGAGTTGTTACAACGGCAATGATATGTATGAATTTTTGAATGAAGATGTCTGTCTTCTGGGTTGTTGAGCCTTGTATTCTGGTAGAAGATTACCGACGTTTCAGAGGTCCTTGCTGCCTCCATCATCAGGGCGATTATCTAGTCTGGTAGAAGATTACCGACGTTTCAGAGGTCCTTGCTGCCTCCATCATCAGGGCGATTATCTAGTCTGGTAGAAGATTACCGACGTTTCAGAGGTCCTTGCTGCCTCCATCATCAGGGCGATTATCTAGTCTGGTAGAAGATTACCGACGTTTCAGAGGTCCTTGCTGCCTCCATCATCAGGGCGATTATCTAGTCTGGTAGAAGATTACCGACGTTTCAGAGGTCCTTGCTGCCTCCATCATCAGGGCGATTATCTAGTCTGGTAGAAGTTTACCGACGTTTCAGGGGTCTTTGCTACCTCTATCATCAGGGCTATGATCCTCCTCCCTCATCGCCCTGATGATGGAGGCAGCAAGGAGAAACTGAAATCCTACAAATTTGTGAATGAATTTTTTCGACCAACAGAAACTCTCTCTTTCTTGTGACTGGTTGTGGGCAAAGTCGTGGGAGCAGCCATGACCTGAAGTGCCATTGTACTCAGTCCAGGTAAACCCCGCAGACGCCTCGAAGTCCGAACACAGCCTCAGACCCAATATATCACCTCGGCGACTGAAAGCGATTAAGAAGAATGTGAAATGCAGACTCAAAGGAACGGAAGTTGTATGTCATTGGCTCTCACCGGCGCCAAGACCTGACGAAGGCGCTTCGTTGAGGTAAGCAGCCTCTACCAGACACGGACCTATATTTCTGTGACTGGCTCCCTCTTCAGGGGAAAAGTGATGTATGTACCTTCAAATATTTGTTTTGTTTTCCCCCAGCAAACACATGCTATTTTAGCTAAACACTAACTACACTAACTTTTGTTTTGTGGATAATTCGATGCAGTCGTCATCACTTATCGTCGGCTGTACATTAATTTACCATCTCTTACATGCTATATCCTACCGACAAAATCGTTTTCAGGGTTTTTTTATGATTAATGAGCGTGGATTTGCTTACGTCTATAAAATTAATTTTATTTTTATAATACAAATTTTTACAGAGTTGTATGTTGTAATTCATGAGACTACTCTAATGCAGGCTGTTAACTTAGTCCCTTATGTTTGAAGTCCTTAGATAACAAATGCATTATGATAAACTATTAAACGTGCGATTAGATAAACGTCTGATAACGGAGGCGTATTTAAAGAGGCGTTTGCAAGTACGCTAATCCTTTACGTCAGAAATCCAGGAACTGTACTGAAAGATAATTTTTCATATAAAGTCACTTATAGAAGGAAGACTTTTAAATGAGAAGGACAGTTTTGTAAAAAAATAAAATGATAACTAAAAGGCGTACGTAATTATAATTTCAATGCCATTTCGTTCTGAAATTTTGTTAATTATCCTTCATAAGGTAGTATATTTGCGTCATATTGTGAATTAGGTTAATATTTAAATATTTTCCGTCAAATCACAATTTTTTAATAAGATAATAAAATATATAAAATATTTAAAATATCATTTCACGTTCCGCATCGAATGATCGATTTACAAATTGGAACGTCTCTTACGACATGTTTCGGTTATATTTAACCGTCCTCAGGTATAAATTAGATTGGTAAAATTTAAAACTCGAATTACAAAATAAAATATTAATTCTCCTTCAATAATCAAGTTCTTGTCTGTTCCCTTCCGTCTTCTTAATCGTCTTGTGAATCATGGGTGGAGTGTTAGCCGTGATAGTCTTGCTAACACTGAAAAATTAAATATGGTTCTTCTTAAGTGGTCATGTGACCGTGTTTTAATTTTCTCTAACTGAATACCGTTTCTCTGTTTCATATATTACTAACATCTTCGTCATCCATATGGCATCGTGGAAAGTGACGTCATTTTATAAAACAACTTAGCATATTCAGGCGTAGACCTACTTAGAGTTTTAAAGTATATTTATCATACCTGTAGGACTTAACGTGTTACCAGGCCTCTGTGTATGTAGCAATCAGCTTCATGAGACCTCGGTTGTTGATGTGAAATTTGTTTTAATATAGTAAAATTTAAAATTATTATTATTATTATTCCTTCGAAGGCAATGATTTACATTTTGTGAATAAAACTTTCATATCGAAGGGCCCATTAACTTTTCATAGAACACAAAGAGACGATTTTATTTCAACTTCTGAACGTTAATTATAACTTTGGTGGAAACTGAAGAGTGTTGAAATATTTTTTTATTTAATTAATTGTAATGTTGTTGTTAACTTTTTTGTTCCCTTGTAGTTATTGACTGATATTAATTCAACGTTAGGTTTGTCCTAACTTGTTAAATAAGGATGTGACATGTTTTGATTCTTCTTACCAGCGGTACAGTTGGAGATTTTCTAAGTTGGGTCGATAGTAAAGGTGATTATTAGTTAATCTGTTGTCAAAAAACACAAAACAGATGAATATATTTCAGAATTCAACAACACAGAATGTCTTACGGGACGGAAAATCCCATGAGAGCGTACACAGAAAGAAATCTCAGGTCAATACAATGTCAGAACAGAGGAAAACATTGCAAGAGAGGTGAGTTCAGAACATCGAAGGCTAACATTCGCATCCAGACAGGAAACTGAATCTGTAGTTTTTGTACGTGGGTTTAGTCGGCCACGAAAATGAGTCTTCCGCCAGAAAACGATTTAATATTGAGTACACTTATCGTTAGGACATAAATTATAAAATTATCCTGTAGGAGTGGATTGAACTAGAGAGGCTATTAATGTTGAATTTGGAAAACAACGTTTGATATGCGTCACGACATTGACGTGTTTCAAACCTGTAAGAGATGGGTTCAGTTACTTGCCGGTAGAGCTAAAAGTTTAAAGTGAATTTAATGGATACGACATTCTCATGAACAGACTTATCTGGCATATATCACTTTTATAACATAACCTAGAACTGAGAACTCTTCTGCTGTTCTAAAATAGATTTGTAGATATTATATATCGCTTTTATAACATAACATAGAACTGAGAACTTTTATGCTGTTCTAAAATAGATTTGTAGATATTTTATTAAAAAAGACTTGAATTTTGAAAGAAGATTCTCTCAATTGTCAGATTGATTCTTATTGATTGACTTGTAGAAAGGTGACACATCCTAATTTGGACTGTAATTTTGAAACGAAGGTTCTTGCAATAAATATGTCTGTACCAGAGAGTCAGACTCGCGTAAGTCCAGTTATGGCATTTTTTAAAGTTAATACATTGAATTACAATTTAAGTTGAGCCCAGATAATTTTTATCAATATGACGTTAATGTATATTACAGTTTATTGAATCTTCTTATTCTGATGGAAAATGGCCGACTTAAAATCTCTCCTAAAATATAGTGAATGAAAATATTTCATAATTTATGTTAATATCATGTGGACATATTTTTTATGAATAGGTCTACGTAATAATTTAGGTGTTAAATTATTTTTGAGATGATAAAGTTGCGTCATATTGTGATAAATATATATTTGTTTAAATATTGTCAGTCTAATCACAATAAAATTCCTATTAAATATTAAAATATTACCATAATTAACATTTAAATATTTAAAGTATATAAAATATATATTATAAACCTGAAGATAGTTCATTTGGAACTCAAACATATCGTGTGAAAAGTGATGTTCTAATGTAAATCGAACATTTCGATAGAGAACATTATATAATATATTTTTAAATATTTAAATGATAATTATGGTAATATTTTAATATTTAATAGGAATTTTATTGTGATTAGACTGACAAGATTTAAACAAATAAATTATTTTATAGCTATAAGAAGGACGAGTTCGCAGGTTTTAAAATATGAATGCAATGAAATGACTGTACTATACTAAAATTTATGAAGACGGAGGCAGGAAGGACCTCCGAAACGTCTACCAGATTACACGACGAAACAACCCAGACGACAGCGACGTTGGGGAATTTCTTGACTATCTCAGCATGGTATTTGGACAGATTTAGATCAATTTTAGTATAATATTAACTTTTTCAATTATACTCCCAATTCTGTTCTGGTTTTGTGCGAATTTTGTTCTATCGGCACGGATATGTAATCCCATTTTGCGTTAACACGACTAAAATTCTGGACTGCCGAAGTGTTGAAACGGACCCCCAAGTGGCCGGTGGGGGGAGGATTGTCTGTCTGAGTAGGCCTGTCGGAATGACACATTTCCTGTCAGCATGGACAGTCCCACTATTCCACTGTCTGTCTGTCCGTCTGTCGCTTAAGAATGAGATACCTCAGGTCTGTCGCTCGACCGGGGGGTTATAGACTGCATGAACTAGACCCGAGCTATAAAATTTGTATTTGTAAGTTATGAATTCATAAGTTGATATAATTGCGTCATATTGTGAATTAAAATTTAATTATT